GGAGAAGGGCGGCATACAAATAAAATAAATCTAAATCTAAATCTAAAATTCTAGTCTTTAGTTCCTAATTAGTTTATTGCCTTTTTAATGTATTTATTAACTTTTCCAGTATTAACTACCCCAATTTCAAAGGACTCTGAGAGATGTACATCATAAATGGAATCAACAACAAACCAAAAACTAACAATAAATTGGTGAATCAGAACAGTGTCAAAAATATAAATATCATAGAAAGCAAAGTTAAACCCCAAGATGGGTGCACACAGTCAATCAGCTGGGCCTGGAAGCATATTGATATAAAACATTTTAAACTTATTTTTGGAACTGTAGCAAAGTGGGGGCTATAGAAAGTTCTTGGGGACAAATTCCACAAGATTTTCCAATATTTCCAATGTTAATATTTCAAGGAAAGACTGCTGCCTTACTCATGTCCCAAGGATCTTGTCAGGGGAGGAAACTTTCACCCTTTCTTGGTAACCAAACCAGATTCAGGCAAGGCATTGGCCAACTTGGTGCTGGTTATTCAAAATTATACAACATTTATAGCCAAAAACTTAATTGAACTGCTGTTTTTTTGTGATTTCCTCCTCCCCCACAAATATTTACCTCTTCTAATTTAGTAAAGTATTTCTTTAATGCAATGACTTCTTATAAGAGTACTCATTGTTGTCATTCACTATAAACTAGATGATTGTTCCAAATAATTATGTTTAGTTGTTTCTAAAGTCTATCCCAAATGCAGTTATGCTATCCTTATTTGGCAACAAACTAGAGTTAGGTTTCTTTTATATGTCAGAGGCATATAGTTGATAATCATATCCCTTCAAGTTGAAATATGATCTATAGCCTTCATAATTACCACAGAACAACCATAAAACATTAAATAAATGGATATGAGTCAATTTTATTTAAAGAAGTGTGTCTTGTGAAGAAAATAATACATGTGATCTAGAAGTCCATCTGAGTTACTTTTTTAAAAAAAAGACATATGTATGTATATATATAGCTGCCTTTTATTTTCCAAACAACTCTAAACAAAACCATGATTTCCAAACAAGACAAATAGAAAAAAATGCACAATGCTTTCATACAAAAAAACCCTGAAACAAAACAGAGCAGTTAATAAAGATGTTGCCTCCCTCTATTCTACATCATCTTATTGTTTAAATTGAATACACAAGTTCCAAATGAGTTCAAGGTTTTTACTGTGTATGTTTCAATTGTTTTCATGAAAGTTATATTTAGCTTTCCATATCTGAAAGATTAGCTTTCAATTTTTTTTAGGGGTTTCAGCTATTGATTGAAACAGGGAGTCTACAATTTGACTCTTTGAATATTATTTTTTTGATTCATGAAAAGCTCGCACAATGAAATAATCCTCAGTTTAAAATAGCAGGTAAATCTATTTTGGAAAACAGGGCTGCTCACACTATTATTATTTGGATTTGATTTTCAATGGTACCTTGATATTCAACTGCTTTGAAACTCACCAAATTTGGTGCTCTGCGCATTTTGACATGAAAATTTTGTCCCCGTACTCATCATTTGTTTGGTACTCAACACACAAATTAGAACTCGTCGATGTTGGCTGCCTTGTTACACACTATATTATTCCTTGGGAGGAAATTTTCTTTGGTACACATTGTTTTTGGTACTCACTGTGCCTCCTGGAACCAATTAACGATGAGTACTGAGGTGCCACTGTAGTGTTATTGAAAAAGATTTTCAAAATTTTGTACAACCCAAGTAACACCGATGTTATAGATTATAGATTTTGGCAATTTATTCAATTAAAACATTTGTTAGATTATTTGGTTCTGGTTTCAAGATTGCTTCTAAATCACCATATTTGTTACAAGTTTAGTGAATTAGCTATGCTCTGGAAGTCAGTAATTAATTTTCATACAAAATGGATAGAATTGTTCAATTGATATTAATTATTGATGATATTTTTGAAATAGTGAGTTTGAAATTCCTGATCCTGTAAATCAATAGACATTCTTTAAAGATTGTGAAATTAGCCTTCTTTAATCTTAGAACGAGATTGCTATAACAAAAGGTTTTGCTGACTACATGTTTTATATTTCTTAATGGATATTAAAGATGTACCTAGTAATATACTAAGGATTTGGACTCTATCAGGGCATCAAGAATTATAGGCATTTTATATATGGAAGATGGCCAAAAATATTTTAAAACATTGCAAAGGTAAATCTGTATATGGATTACAGCAATAGAAATTTGTTGTTTTGTAATACTTGATTTTCCCCCCCAACAAAAGTGAAAGGAAAGGAATATTAACAACCAATCAATCAGAATAGAGCTGGAAGGTCTTGTAGTCCAACTCGCTGCTCAAGTCTGTACCATTTCAGACAAGTGACTGTCCAGTCTCTTCTTAAAAACCTCCAGTGATGAAGCACCCACAACTTCTGAAGGCAAGCTGTTCAACTGCTTAATTGCTTCTCTCCTTGATTAGCTTCCATCCATTGTTTCTTGTCTTGCCTTCTGATGCTTTGGAAAACAAGTTAACCCCCTCTTCTCTGTGGCAGTCCCTCAAACACTGGAACACTGCTATCATGTCACCCCTAGTCCTTCTTTTCTTAAAGACTGGCCATATACAATTCTTGCAACTGTTCTTCATATGTTTTAATCTCTAACCATTAATCATTTTAGCTGCTCTTCTCTAAGATGATTAAAAATCTGGAGACACTTTGGGCAAAATATCCAGATTTTTTTTAAAAAAAATTTCCCTTCCCTTCCCCTTTTCCCTTTCATTAATAGAGTGATATGTAGTTGTGAAACTTCGATTCAACAAACTAGTTGGTGGGAATTGGAATCCATTGATCCTGATAGCCCATTAAAGAGACTATGCCTGCAGCAATGTTATTATGCATGTGATGTAAATTATATTAGTTTACATTATGTGCATAATAATAGCCTTATGCAAATAACACAAAATTACATATTTGCAATGGAAATTTTGTCTGCTGTGTCTGAGGGTTGTTGAATGAAGGATTCATTGCATGTAAATATTTTGGCACCTTTTCAGTTAGTTATTTTGACATAGCATGTATATTAAAAAATAAAGGCAGTCTTTTTGACAGGAAGTGGACAAATAAAGCCTTAATAATCGATGTTCCATACTCTGTCTTGAAGATGAGTGGGGATGTTGGAGAGGAAGAATATAACTGCCTAATATGTAAAAATAGCCCAAGTTCGAATCCCAGCAAGGGTATGGTTAGCTGAAGAGAGCTAAATAGCTTGAAATAGAACTATACTGGTCTCCCTTCATTTATTTATCAGCAAAAATGCAACACAAAAATGGTTTTTCTGCCTGGAAGGCTCCTGGAGTGGACCTGAAAGGCAAAAGAGAAGAAGTATGCNAATATTGCAAATAGATAAGTGAATAGCACTTTGGTGGGAAAAGTCTAGCTGCATTTGTGTTGTGGAAAACAGAAGCTGGCACTGGATCTGGCTGGACACAAGGCATTGTGACACAAGGCAAGACTGGCTAAGAGCCAGCAATCCGAGCACTGCTAATTGGTGTAAATCTAGTTCCCCCCGCCACACGCACAGTGCACCAAGGATAAGTGCGCAAGCACTGAACAGAATGAATTAACAATCTAGGCTTTCAGGACTGCATGGTGTGTCTTGTAAGTGTAGATTTCCCTGACATTGTATACTGTACACAAAATAAATAAATAACCTATGAAATGTGGCAGAACACAATAACAATAATTGGGCAAAAATTAACATATCAGAAATATAGAATTCCTGTTGACTTTCTGCAGGCAGTGCTAATGGAGTATACTTTTAAGATTCCCTGGATATTGCTGTCACCTTTATCATTGTCTAGTCAGGAAGCAGGAGATGTCCTGAAGCGTGTTACTTGTGGCCAGATCTTGCCAAAACCTTGTGCAGTAGAGAAGCTTATTTTTGTGGTCACTTTTGATCTCCACCTGTTTTTCCTTAGTTTAACCACGGTATTGCTAAGTAAAGTGATTTAAATAGATGCAGGTCCGGGCTTATTAAGGATAAATCTATGCCCCTTGGGTTGGGGTTAATTAATTGGGCCATTTGATTCCTTTTTAGTGTTCCTACAAAACTGTAACCTCTCAGTTGATCCTATTTAGCATATCAGCAAGTACGGTGTATGATTTATTCTCGGCTGCTCTGTATTTTAATTTTTATATTATTGAAATTGTTTTTAATTTCTTTTTAATTTTGTTCACTACCCCCAGTCACTTATTGACATAGGTGGCCATACAAATTGAATAGATGAATGAATAAATAAATAAATATTGTGGGAACAGGAGTTGAGTCTAAGACTTGATTCTATCAATTAACACATGCTTGTGTGCCACCTCCAGAGCTGATCCAATTTGTTAGGGAACATTCTTTCCTGGAACCCCTTCTACTCTGACAGGAAGATTAACTAACTTAATCAGCAGATTCCTCTTCAGCCTTTACATGAGGTTCACTTGGTCTAGTAAGGCCTTTACTTGAACAGAAAGCAGATCTCCTTCCATTCTTCCAAATACAGTAGGAGCTGCCTTCATCTACAGGGCAATAGATGAATGAAGCTTTGGAATTTTTGAACCATGATCTTGTTTGTCATTCAACCAAAATGAGCTACTGGTTCCCTACTGCCAAGTACCTACTCTATGGGAAAGGCTAAGTATCTAATGCAAGTTGTACTTTATATTATTATTACTGCTGGACAAGTTAGTGTGGTGGTTATCCCTTATGCTTCACTAATTTTAAACACACCTTGAACTAAGTGCTGTAGCAAAGAGAACATTAACATGGTAGTTCAGGTAGGGAAGACGACAAGAGGTAAGGAGTTTGGGTTGACATTTTATGTCTTTTAAAATGTTAACCTTTTGGAAATATCACTGTGTACATTTTAAATATTAATAAAGGAGCTGGCTGTTAGATGGCAGAGTGGCTGTTTGTCAGGGGGTGACCTTTTATTGAAGCAAAAGAAAATTGACAGTTTTATTAGCTGTAGAGGACCATGGGGTGGGCAGGAGGGAGGAGAACCTACCACTTTAATTAGTTAAACAAGCTATATATTCCAAATGAGTCATAGTTTAAGGCTGAGCTGTGAGGCTCCTGAAGGCACAAATCATACTTTTTTGTGTGCGTGGTCTTTTTGAGCAAATATTTGCTTTGCTAATAAGACATCTCTACTCATCTTGTTCTCTCGGACTGAAAAAATCATATTGAACACTAGTTCCTACTATTTTATTATCAAACCATGGATCTGAAAATAATTCCAAAGGTTCATTTTAAAGCAGAAGAACTGGGTTGTTAAGCATCTTTTTACATCTTCAGCACCAGGTATACTGCATAGGAGGTGAAATTTCCATATCCACTCTACTTTTGGCTCAATATTCTCTAGTTGCCCTAGTTCTCCTTCCAGACACTCTTCCTTTCTTGTGGAAAACTAGAATTCAGAATAACCTATGCCTAAGAACTTATGTCAAACTTTTCATACCATGGAACTATCAGCAGTACCAGGGGTGGGTTCCTATACTGGTCGGTACCGGTTCACTGCTTGCTCAACTCGCATGCATGCCGGCCGCACGTTTCTGGCGCATGCACACTTGACTAAATATTGTTCTGCACATGCGCAGAAACATCCTGCCAACAGCATAAGAGATTGGGAAACCGGTTTTGCGACCCAGGCCACAATTCCACTACTGGTTCAGCTGAACCAGGAGTAACCCATCTCTGAGCTGTAAGTGTTTAATATCACTTTCTAGGTAGGTTGGGATGTTTTAGTAAGCAATACTAAGCAGGAGTCCTTCAACTCAGCAAATTATCTATCCAATATTACCTACCCAAAGCACTCTAGAGTTCTTCTTTAACTCACTTCAATGTATTGTCCTCTAAGATTGGAAGAGAGGGTGAAACANTATAAACTATTTCAGCCACATTATCCAATTTATTTCTTCAGGCCCCAAATTTAAGACTAACGTGCAAGACTAACAATATCTGATATAATATAATATATGATATATATAATATTTGATATAATATTACTAGAGGATACTTCACATGCATTATCTCATAATGTACAAAATAGTGCCATATAAGGTTCCACAGTATTTATTATTACAGTAGTACAGATGATGGACTCAAATTATGTATAAAAGATAACCACCAATATGGTAGAAAAACTCAAGCAAAGGTAAATGGGAAACAATGCATCTTGCAGCTACAAAAGCCAATCAACTATACCAGCATTCTTAATTTAGTTAATTTAGTTCACATACAAAAGAACCATTAGAACTGAATCAACCCACAATTCAGAAAGGAATATAACAGACCTATTTCTTTCTCCTTTCCAACATTTTCATAGACTGTCACTGAATCATAACTGCAGTCTTCATTGTCTTCCAGTTCAAAGTGTTCATAGGCGAGCTTCAGAAAAATAAAAACAGGGAAGAACTGAAATTCATCCAAAACAAAGGAATTTGATTTTTAAATAAATATGTTTTTCCTTTCTTATTCTTACAGATCTTACTACTACCAAACAGTTAAAACATTGATCCAACATAATGCTTAAGAAAAACTTCATTCAACAAAGCACAAACCAATATTATCACCCTCTTCCCAAGAAATATGCAGAAGATGAGGTTTCACATCCTTAAAATATTAAAAATTTCATTTTACAAATTTTTAATTCAAAAAAATATCCAGAGTTTAGTTTACTGCTACTTAATATATTGGCAAATCTCAAAATGAGAATAGCAATATACTCATGTGGCCCAAAGTTTTAAACTTTAATCAATTAGGATTGAAATAAAAACAAACATTTATTTATGGGATATAATCAGAATGACAGGGATATAGGATAAAAGCCAAGCTGAAGATAGTCAGGCTCAATACTAAAAATGTTGGATTCCATATTAGAAAAAATATATTATAAACACAGAATTATATATATATATATAAAATCAAATTCACGAACAGAAAAAGTAGCAAAGAGCAACTTCGAACATTTGAACCAAATCAAATATGATTGAAATAAATATTTTATGCATGTGATTTATACCTTAACAACTTGATTCACTGGAGCATGAACAATCCATTGGCATTCTGCCAGGTTATTATATGCTTCTGGATAGTGCATGCTTTGCACTGTTCCTTCTTCAAAGAGAACTGCTAGAGATCCACAGCCAGAATCTAAAAAGAAACCAAAATTTCTTCAAAATAAATAAGTTGTTTCAAACATTTACAAGGTTATATTGTCCTATTAAACTATGAAATATCCCATTTAGAGGGAAAGAAGTATTACTTAGATGATGAATGAAAACTTTTCAAAGGAATAATGTAACTACAAATGGTGTAAGAATATATTTGATAGATAGTTTGGAGTTGCTTGTGGTAGTATCTCTTTTGTGAGAGTGGGCAGTTCTAAAGTTGATTTGTATCAGAAACTGCTCAGTTCTTGAGTGTAAACATCTTATTACCCTGTTTCCCTGAAAATAAGACCTCCCCAGATAATAAGCCCAATTGGGCTTTTGAGTGCATGTGCTAAAATAAACCATCCCTTGAAAATAAGCCCTCCCCAAAAATATTGCAACACAGCAGCAGCCATAAGGTGACCACGCTCACCGCCTCCTGCACCTCAAAAATAATAAGACCTTCCCAAAAATAAGGCCAAGTGCTTATTTCGGAGGTCAAAAGAAAATAAGATCCTGTTATTTTCGGGGAAACACGGT